TATATATATATTTCACATATACATCATCCGATGGTGGTGTGATTGGCCCCCGCGTTTTTATCTCTCCCAGCTGTGTGTATGGACGGCCGCGTGTGTTGTTTTTCGTGTGTTTGGTATACGCGCGCGCGAACCGCGAATAAAGGTCGATGACGATGCAACGGGTTCAAGATCAGGACAATGGGATCAACATCAAATTTGGCTCGGGTAAATCCCGAAAGGGCGACTATAGGCTGGTATCTCAGGAAACCGACAACAACAAGGACCGTCTAAATGGGACCAATAAGACAGGTGAGCAATGCCGCGAGTTTATTCAATATACTATAATATTCGGAAAAAATGCGAATCTCGTTGATTCTGTCTCCGCACGACAGATCTTTCCTCTAAGAAATTAGAAATTTTACATTTTCTAATATTTTATAGAGTTTTATAAAGCCAATTTCTTTAAAAACCATTTTTTACAGTTTTTCACATATAAATATTATATACGATTTACATGAGCTTGTCATTTATGTTGATTAACAATGTCTAAATTTTCTAAGAGAAAATTGTGTTATATTGCTAATATAATATTAGTACAAGTGACGTTACTGATACATACAATAAATGACGAAAACATTAATAAGTATTGAGAGAATTGAGTTCGCTCTCGCTCTCGTTGTTTCGAGAAGGATTCTTATCCTCTTTATCTTCGAAACGCGTAATGATTTTTGTTAATGCCAGCATTGCCAGCTGGAATTACTGATAAAACATACGGAGGTTATCGTTAGCATGTTGTCCTTCCGCTTATGTTAGATATTTGTATGTTTTGTCATTCAATTTTTTTTAGATAAAATGCATAATGAGTTGATGAACATTAATGATAGGTATTATATTACATTTTCTCTCTTGTGTTTTTCTGTATGTGTGTAACAGGAAATGTATTTTACGATTATCGATAAAAAAATATGATATAGAAAAAAATTGAAGGTCACAAAACTAAAGTTCAACTTCTTATAACGTTAATTTTTCCGCAACAATGCACCTGCAAAATACAATTACATTTTTAAATATAAAACTGGAATCATTTTTTTTATATATATTATAAATGTTTGTGATTTTTCTTTCATATCACATATTTTTACATATAAAGTATCTTAAGGTAAGCTCATAGATAAGGGAATACTTTATGATATATTTTATTTTTTCTGTGTATATTTTGATATAAAAATATGAGGTATTTATTTTTCGATGACTTTGGTTTAATATTTTTTGTAACAGAAAATAACGAAAAAGATCTCGATATAACGCAAAAGAAAACAGAATAGTTGCATTTAAAAAAAAGCACTATTGCACGTTGCAATGGGAAAAGTAATGCCTTTTAATTCTTTTATCTAGCTTGTTTTCTGTTTTGAGAAAGATATTCCCTATTGAAATTGCTAGAAAAGAATCAAATTGAATTCCAAATATCCTTTTTCACTTTCCATTAAAATAAAAATATAAATAGTTTATATTATTAAGTCATATTAACAATTTCGATCTTTGAACAAGACTAATCAATGAATTATAACCATTAAAAAAATTGCAGTTTTTAAATCAGCGAAAGAATTAAAAAAGCGCAAAAATATATTTATTAAATCTAAAATATCAAAAATATTCCAGTGATATATTAGTGATATATAATGCTCATGATATGTGATTCGTACTTCTATTCCGTTTCTTATCGTGATACGACCCGTATGACCAATAGTTATATCCCTCTCTCTCACTGTTTCATACTCTCTCACTGTCATCATCTCTTATTTCCTTACCTTTACAATTCATACCATGTTTATTTATAGTTTTTTGTATCATGTTTTGTTCTTTTTTTTTTCCATTTTTACGCTTCATCATTCATTTCATTCGGTATCATAGTCAATTATTATAAATGGAACTTTTATAAATAGAAGAGTTAAATATATAAAAGATTGGCCTATGAGCCAAGAAGCAAATTGAGTAAACGTAAAACTGACATATAAACGATTAAAACGCTTGCCAACATTTGTATCACTGCAAAATTATACAGCTTTCTTATTGTTACTTCTCTTAGTTACAATATTCATTCATAATCAGTGTTAGACGCATGCTGAGCTTTATTCCTAACAATTTCTTTCATCAAAAAAGCTCGTATAAAGATATAAATTTGCAACAATATTAAATTACTTTTAAAAATCTGGAATTTTTTTTTCTTTTTGTGTATATGTTTTGTTCTATTTTTTTTTCCAACATATTTAATGATATTTTAAATCTTTGATAAATAATAGGAAAAAATATCTTTTTAAAATTTTATGTATGTATTGCACGTTGCAATGGGAAAAGTAATGCCTTTTAATTCTTTTATCTAGCTTGTTTTCTGTTTTGAGAAAGATATTCCCTATTGAAATTGCTAGAAAAGAATCAAATTGAATTCCAAATATCCTTTTTCACTTTCCATTAAAATAAAAATATAAATAGTTTATATTATTAAGTCATATTAACAATTTCGATCTTTGAACAAGACTAATCAATGAATTATAACCATTAAAAAAATTGCAGTTTTTAAATCAGCGAAAGAATTAAAAAAGCGCAAAAATATATTTATTAAATCTAAAATATCAAAAATATTCCAGTGATATATTAGTGATATATAATGCTCATGATATGTGATTCGTACTTCTATTCCGTTTCTTATCGTGATACGACCCGTATGACCAATAGTTATATCCCTCTCTCTCACTGTTTCATACTCTCTCACTGTCATCATCTCTTATTTCCTTACCTTTACAATTCATACCATGTTTATTTATAGTTTTTTGTATCATGTTTTGTTCTTTTTTTTTTCCATTTTTACGCTTCATCATTCATTTCATTCGGTATCATAGTCAATTATTATAAATGGAACTTTTATAAATAGAAGAGTTAAATATATAAAAGATTGGCCTATGAGCCAAGAAGCAAATTGAGTAAACGTAAAACTGACATATAAACGATTAAAACGCTTGCCAACATTTGTATCACTGCAAAATTATACAGCTTTCTTATTGTTACTTCTCTTAGTTACAATATTCATTCATAATCAGTGTTAGACGCATGCTGAGCTTTATTCCTAACAATTTCTTTCATCAAAAAAGCTCGTATAAAGATATAAATTTGCAACAATATTAAATTACTTTTAAAAATCTGGAATTTTTTTTTCTTTTTGTGTATATGTTTTGTTCTATTTTTTTTTCCAACATATTTAATGATATTTTAAATCTTTGATAAATAATAGGAAAAAATATCTTTTTAAAATTTTATGTATGCGGAATAGAAAATAATACATATTAGCATAACAAATGTTTATTTCTGTTACAAAACAAAACAAATGTAAAAAATAAAAATTTTTCAGAATATTTTAATATATATAGAGAAACCGAAATAAATCTATCTTTTTTTGTAAAAAAGAAAAGAGCATATTAAAAGATAAAAAAAGATTTGTTCGATAAAAATTCGATTATATCAATTGGATTCCTATCGATCGTTTATAATTCACATTCATTGTTTGAATGTTCGTATAAAAGCAAGTCAGAATGCATATCACAACAGAAACGACTTCCGCATGTGAAGTGATCAGTATCGGTATTACAATGTTGCATACTGATGAATCGTCGCTCTTTGTCGGTGACGGGAGAAATTACAACTTTTTCCTTTGTCCACGCGTACGCGCAACATGTACCAGAGAGATACCTATTTTGTTCTTTCTTCCTCTAATACATGAATCAGCGATTTTCATTACATGATATTAATGAACACTTGGGATATGCTAATCGTCTTTGTAAACATAGTGAAAATTTTAAGATTTTTGATCTCTCTCTCTCTCTGTTTACAAGTGCTCCAATTTAGTTTCTATTTAGAAAAATTTCTTTTTGTATAGTATCTTCGCTATAAATATCTTTTACACTAATTGAAATGCATTGCAAGCGGGATTTTGTGTAATATTTTAGCTATTATTTGGTGTATTTACAAAATTGTTTCCGAACTGTTCAATATATTCTAACATTCTTTTTTTACGTTTTGAGCGAATTTATTGTACCCAAGAACGTGTACCTGAGAACACTTGAAGCATCAGATATGTAACTTATTGTTTCTAGGTATCAAAGTCTCTTCTACCATTCATAACTCATTAGCATATCAATTTCCATCTAATTACCATTATGAATCTGTCTAATTATCGTCACATAATACATAAGAAGATGCACATTGAAAGACTATTTGTTATTATATACTTGCTTGCCTAATTACTGTTATTTGCTCAAGCTTTTCGCGAAATGGTTATACAAGATTAAAAAACCATATTGCTTAAACCATACTGTCTTTTCTGTATTTTATTTGTCAAATTATATATTGAACAATTCACTGCAATGAACAGAAAGAAATTGAGAATTTTCGAGAATTGTTTAATGTCTTTTTCCATCATTTTGCTTTACCTATTTAAATAAATTCATAGAAATCGATTTCTTCTATGTCAGTTCTTAAATTAGAAACAATGATAGCATACAATGACAGACACTTGTCAAGTAAGTGAAATCTTTTCAAGAGATATTAGATATTTTTTCCAATATAATAAAGTTAAGAAATATATTACAAAGTCTATAAATTATGCGCTATTGATTATAGCAGATGAAGGAATCAACCCCCAAGTTTTTAATAAAACAAATCTTATAAAATCAAATTAAAAGAGAAAAAGATAAAAAAGTATCATAGAAAGAAGAAGATAATGATGTTATTATGTATTACTATAAGTTATAAATGACATAAAAACTCTCGAAAGAATAAATAAAAAATTCTCAAGCATATTTATCCTCGTTACAGAAAAAAATGAAAAGGTAGAAGAGGAGTTAATCCCACCGGACGGAGGCTGGGGATGGCTAGTGCTTCTGGCCGCCGTCATGGTGAATCTTCTCATCCCTGGCACCATCAAGTCCTTCGGAGTATTGTTCGTCGAATTTCTCGATGTATTTGACGCATCACCAGCAGCAGCTGCGTGGATACCGTCGCTCTGTTATTTCTTATACAGTTCGCTGGGTAAGAATCGTCGTTATATATATATATATATATATATATCGTATATTACATCGATAAACTTTTCGGGGACGTATCCATAGTTTTTAGATATCTTTCCTAGATTGGATTCTATTGAGAGTTTTGTTTTCTTCACATGTCCTAGTTTTTCGCGTTTACATAATTCACGATTAAATATATTTAGATTTAGTCTCATTCGGTTTACTGTTATTCGTTTGCCTTATCCAAATTTCAAAACTCCGAGTCATGTGTTTTTACATTAATTTGATTACAATTTCATGATAATCATATGAAAAAAATAAGGTTATCAGAATATATTAATTTATACGTTACATCATAATGCAAATACGGATTTTATATTACATTCCGGTAAAAATAGATGGAAGCGGTTCCAATTTCCAATAGTATGGACTTCGTAACACGGAAAGATTTGCTTGCGTTTATTGTTTACGTGTGCAGTTTTCTTCGTATATTATGAATCACGTCGTATATTATGAATTTGAGCAAACAAATTAAGAATCATTAGTTAAGAACAAAAGAATTGTTTACGCGTATTACATTTGATATGTGATTCTGAATCATCGATTTGTGTCTTTTTAAGAATGAGAAATCATGGTAAAATCATGGTAAAATTCCAAGAATTAGAGAGATAGCTGCATGAATAATTTCTAAGCAAATATGGCTGTTCTTACTTGCATCTTTTGATTCGATGATATCTTATCATTCTAGGCCCATTCTCTAGTGTACTTTCGGTCAAGTATTCCTATCGTACGGTAACTTTAATAGGGGGGACATTTGCTGCGGTGGGGATGATGCTGAGCTATTTCGCGAACTCTGTGGCCTTTCTATGCGTAAGGTAATTTCTCTTCTTTCTTTTAAAATACAATTATACTATTTGATCATATTTTGCGCAACAAATACCTTCGAAGAAGCAATCAATATCGCATCTTGTTTAAAAAAATAAAGAAATAAGATAATTTTTTCACAATTATACACAAAAGCTAGATTTATAAAAGTAAATATTTTAAGTAAATATATTATTAAGCTTTTGGTTAGAGAAAAAGATGAATAATAAAAATAAATATTTTCCATATTTTTCAAAAGAATTACAAGAAAACTTTTTAAAAACAATTGCAAAAAAAATTTCAACATTACAAAGATAAAATGCAAATATTTGAGTAAATCTATTCGGTATTAATAAAGATGAGCGACGATATAAAAGAAATATTTAAATATATTAAATATAAAAAAAAGTTTTGTGGAACTCAACGATTTTTTTTTAGTTTAATCCATATATAGATATATTCTGTCGAATATATCTCGGGGTATTTATTGCGTAGCATATTATTATATAATGCGTGAATATTTCTTATGTAATTTCTCCTGTTTCTAGTTATGGTGTACTGGTAGGTACGGGAGCGGGATTAGCGTTTCCTCCGACTGTATATATCGTGACGTCTTATTTTGTACGGCTACGAGGACTTGCCAACGGACTCTGCATCTCCGGCAGTGCGTTAGGCTCGATATTTCTTCCACCCGTTTTGGGCTTTCTTCTACGAGAGTATGGTTATAGGTGAGCTTCTTTATTATTTATGTAAACCAATCATTTAAATATCCGATAAATTCTACGGAAATGAAAATGTAAGAAATCGTGCTTACAATTTCTATATAATAATAGTTCTATCATTGATGGCCAACTGTGTTAGCAATAATAAAAATTTACAAATTACCTGTCATTACCTGTTAAAATACTATTAGGTGATAATATATAATCGATGACATATTTCTTCGTTTGTTCGCAGAGGCGCAGTATTAATAATGGGTGCTGTTACATTAAATGTCTGGGCGAGTGCGCTTCTGTACCACCCAGTGGAATGGCACATGATACCAGCTCGATCTCCGGATGACAATGACGTGCATGACGACGAGGAAACCGTCACTAGCAGCCCGGAGCAAGCAACCGAGAAGAGTAACAGCCAGCTGTTATCGTCGAATTCGACGAGCGAGAAAGCCGCGCCGATCGTACCGAAAAGCGCATCAAGCGTTGCCCTGGAGTATTACAAAAACACACCGGTGCAGAACCGCACGCGAAAGATCAGCGCACCTATCGGACGCGAGATCAGTGGCCAGATGCACAGCACGCCGACGTTACACGCCGTGCCGGAGGGTCGTGGTAGCGTGACCGATTCCAATAAATACTCCAGGACATTTGCAAGATCACCGTTGAATTCGCCTAGCGATTCGTCCTTCAATTACGTCAGCACACCGTATCACGGTAGCACCCTATCGGTCCTGCATCCAGAACGTGCATCTACATTGACGCTGAACGCTATTTCCAATACATTCGCTAGAAAATCGATGACGACCAGCGGGCAGGAGACGCGGCGTAAGGATGAAAAAAGCCAACAGAACAAATTCTTCGATGTTAGCCTGCTTAAGGATCCCATCTACCTCGTCATTCTTATTTCCAATTCCACCAATGCCATCAGCTACACCAATTTCGTCATTCTGTTACCAGCCTACGCCATCTCTCTGGGTTTCGACAATTGGGATGCATCATTGCTACTGTCGATCGTCTCTATGCTCGACCTGGTGGGCCGTATCGGCGGCTCCGCCCTTTCCGACATCAAGATCATGCCTAAGCATTGGTATTTCATTGGCGGTCTGTTCGCTTCCGGCATTTCTTTGGCCATCCTACCCACCTCCAACACGTATGTCATGCTGTCCGTCTACTGCTCTTTCTTCGGTCTCGCGTCTGGTATCTATGTTGGCATCACCGCCGTTATTATGGCCGACATGCTGGGAACGGAGAAGCTTACTTCGTCCTATGGTATCTCGTTGTTCGTCAACGGCGTCATTCAGCTGGTGGGGCCACCCATTTGTGGGATAGTGTACGAGCAGATCGGCAGCTACGGACCGATCTTCAGTATACTTGGCATCATTCTAGTATTCGGCGCGTCTCTTTGGGGTATTGTGCCATTCATCCGACGAAGACAGGCAGCGTTGGAGAAATCCGCCAAAATAGATAAAGTATAGTAGACCAAATAAATGAAAAGTATATAAAATATGACAATTTTTGTCCATCATTAGTACTGGACACTCTTTTCATAGTTTTACGTTTTAAAATCTGAGTTTTAGGATAGTACATATTATATATGATAGAATGCATATATGATAGAAAACTATTCTCATTTTCAAGTTTTAAAATGTAATGTTATGAAGAAATTATATATATAATCGAGTCGCGACATATGACTCGATACTTCGTAAAGGCACACATGAGCTTAATTGCGCAATTGCTTAAAGATGGCCATGTATACACGTATGCATGTATATAAGAGAGAGAGAGAGAAAGAGCGAAAACGTGGCCGAACATTAAACTGTGATGTTAGCGTGAATGTAATGTATCGAAGCTACACTGGCGAAGAGTTTTCGGATCGAGCAAAGCTTTGGAATTTGAGCATTTTGCTTAGTCCGATAATTTTTCGCATAAATTGTCTACGATGTATGATTGTATGACTGTCGAATAATTAGTAATTATAGTAATTATAATTGATTGCCAAATAGAACGGTAAATGTGAGAAAATCTTATTGTACCAAATATCAGTTTACTATCAGTTTACTATCTTGAATAATAACCGAAAATTGTGCGTAATTAATTAATACAAATCGTTAATTTAAAACCTATATTTCATTCTCTATAGTATTACATTTTTCATTAGTGAATTGACTGATAAAAATGATATGATATAATGATGTTTACCATCTTTATCAGTAATTTTGATTATTACGTGCACTGAATGAGAGATAATTCCATCATATCAACATTTTTTTTCTTGTAATATAAAACGGAATGCTGAATATGTGTTGTTATATTTTTGAAGACATAGCTATAATACAAGAATGTCATTTAGTAAAAATCTAGTTTATTATAATATCAAAACACGAGATTGAGATAAGTACATAGAAATATAATAAAATGCATTTACATTTAGTTTATATTTATAATAAAATATATTTACAATGAAAATGTAAAATGTAAAAAGTACTTAAAAGCGAGAAGTGCTTAAGATGATAAAACTATAAGAAGTTAGCAAATAATAAAAGTTTCTTTTCTATTTTTAAGAATAAAATTAGTACAAGATATATACCGCTCTTTGAAAACTAAATGAGAAATATATAGATACACATGCAACGGTCCGTTTTAAATTACAAGAAACCGAAAAGTTTCAACTAGTGAAATCAATTTCACTCTGTCAGCGATATCAGATTTGATCACATTTACCGCCAAGTATACGCTCTTATATCGGTGATGAGGTAACGTATAATGCGGCCTCACGCACCGCGTAGTCCATTTTTGACTATAAAGCGTATTATTTAGGGAAACAATTTTCGAGAAAAAAACTTTTTTGAGAAATCGCTTCTTTTCTCGGAAGTAGAAAGAAAGAATATATTTCTGCCTTATAACCGAAGAAAGAAAAAATTACCCTCTCTCTGAAAGTAAAAGTTTTGCATCGGCACGAAAAATAATTCAATTTTACTTGAATATTTAGTGAAAAAACAATGGTCACGATTGGTACTAACTGTGCATCGGAATAAAAATACGATGACAATATAGCATGTACCAATTTCGTTTCTATAAACGAATCTAGTAATAAAGTAAATTGGCACACAATTGTAGATACAATATCTATTTCTAAAGACTTAATCGCACACACGTATGTAAATGCGATCTTACTGCTAGAATGACTAGAATGCTAGAAGAGTGGATCTTATTTATGAGAACTATAGTTATTAAACAAAGACCAGAATTCTGGTATGGGTTACCATTCTCTCTCTAAATTAAGAATGAATTAATGAAAAGGATCTACAACAATAATAAGACGTGATTGTATAAGCAAAATATATCTGGTGAAATGTGTATCTTTATCCATTCTAGTGTTAAAATATCGTCTTGTGTCAAAAGAGTTTTGGTCTTGCGAGTTTTCTCAATTATTAAAGGAACTTCAATTCGGTCGATCCACTTTTCAAACTTTCGAAATTCGCCGGAAATAATGCCTTACGAGTAGGTCATAAGCAGTTTGTAAGTAATATATAATGACTGTCGAATAATTAGTAATTATAGTAATTATAATTGATTGCCAAATAGAACGGTAAATGTGAGAAAATCTTATTGTACCAAATATCAGTTTACTATCAGTTTACTATCTTGAATAATAACCGAAAATTGTGCGTAATTAATTAATACAAATCGTTAATTTAAAACCTATATTTCATTCTCTATAGTATTACATTTTTCATTAGTGAATTGACTGATAAAAATGATATGATATAATGATGTTTACCATCTTTATCAGTAATTTTGATTATTACGTGCACTGAATGAGAGATAATTCCATCATATCAACATTTTTTTTCTTGTAATATAAAACGGAATGCTGAATATGTGTTGTTATATTTTTGAAGACATAGCTATAATACAAGAATGTCATTTAGTAAAAATCTAGTTTATTATAATATCAAAACACGAGATTGAGATAAGTACATAGAAATATAATAAAATGCATTTACATTTAGTTTATATTTATAATAAAATATATTTACAATGAAAATGTAAAATGTAAAAAGTACTTAAAAGCGAGAAGTGCTTAAGATGATAAAACTATAAGAAGTTAGCAAATAATAAAAGTTTCTTTTCTATTTTTAAGAATAAAATTAGTACAAGATATATACCGCTCTTTGAAAACTAAATGAGAAATATATAGATACACATGCAACGGTCCGTTTTAAATTACAAGAAACCGAAAAGTTTCAACTAGTGAAATCAATTTCACTCTGTCAGCGATATCAGATTTGATCACATTTACCGCCAAGTATACGCTCTTATATCGGTGATGAGGTAACGTATAATGCGGCCTCACGCACCGCGTAGTCCATTTTTGACTATAAAGCGTATTATTTAGGGAAACAATTTTCGAGAAAAAAACTTTTTTGAGAAATCGCTTCTTTTCTCGGAAGTAGAAAGAAAGAATATATTTCTGCCTTATAACCGAAGAAAGAAAAAATTACCCTCTCTCTGAAAGTAAAAGTTTTGCATCGGCACGAAAAATAATTCAATTTTACTTGAATATTTAGTGAAAAAACAATGGTCACGATTGGTACTAACTGTGCATCGGAATAAAAATACGATGACAATATAGCATGTACCAATTTCGTTTCTATAAACGAATCTAGTAATAAAGTAAATTGGCACACAATTGTAGATACAATATCTATTTCTAAAGACTTAATCGCACACACGTATGTAAATGCGATCTTACTGCTAGAATGACTAGAATGCTAGAAGAGTGGATCTTATTTATGAGAACTATAGTTATTAAACAAAGACCAGAATTCTGGTATGGGTTACCATTCTCTCTCTAAATTAAGAATGAATTAATGAAAAGGATCTACAACAATAATAAGACGTGATTGTATAAGCAAAATATATCTGGTGAAATGTGTATCTTTATCCATTCTAGTGTTAAAATATCGTCTTGTGTCAAAAGAGTTTTGGTCTTGCGAGTTTTCTCAATTATTAAAGGAACTTCAATTCGGTCGATCCACTTTTCAAACTTTCGAAATTCGCCGGAAATAATGCCTTACGAGTAGGTCATAAGCAGTTTGTAAGTAATATATATATATATATATATATATATATATATACACATATATTATAACTCTATAACTCTATACACAAATACATAAAACAAAAAAACAAAAAAATACTCAAGATATATCAACAATTTTCCCATTAAGTCTTTATAGCTAATTGTTTATATATATATATATATATATACACATATATTATGTTTATATAACTCTATACACAAATACATAAAACAAAAAAACAAAAAAATACTCAAGATATATCAACAATTTTCCCATTAAGTCTTTATATATTTAAAGCTAATTGTTTAAGCTTCTTTCTCTTTATTCATATTATAACTTATGCATATATTATATATTTTTTTGTTTACATTATAAATAAAAATATCATCTTTTAGAAATAGGAATAAAATTAGTCCAAATTATAATACAAGGCATAAAGAAAATCAATGGCTTATTGAATGATAATTGGTGGAAAAAGCATAGATAACTAGCTTTGCAATATGTTTTAAAATAAGGAAATATACAGATGTACACATTATCCTCTGTATTTCCAAAAGAAATTTCCGAATTGAACATTCAGAAATCATTAACAAGAGAAAAGAGGATATTTGTCAATGTAAATTACATTTTATCAATATACATACTTTATGTCTGTTTCCTCCGATTATAACTAATGATCTCTCTCTACTAGTGAAAACAGTTACTTTTCTTTCAAGATAGTTTCTGCAGCTGGCGGAGCATCCCTGAATTTAGGAAACTGTTCCCATGGGGCAGATAGTTCAAATTTACGGAATTCTTGAGCTAATTCCAATGGTTCAATAACTACTCTTTTTTGCTCGTCATCGTAGCGAACCTAAAATAAATCATTGATATATATATATTAGAAAAAAATTAGAGAGAATGATATAAAATTTCATATTTAATATAATTTTAATTAGATCATAACAAATCTAATTTTAATGAGATAGAAATGATTGCAAACAAGTTCTACAAATGCATACAATCTTATTGATAAATTCGTTTGATGCTACATAAAATTAGTTGATACATTGAATGGAATAATCACCTCAACATATCCACTGAGTGGAAAGTCTTTCCTAAGTGGATGTCCTTCAAAACCATAATCTGTAAGAATCCTACGAAGATCAGGATGATTCGAGAAGAATACGCCAAACATATCCCATACTTCTCGCTCGTACCAATCAGCAGCTTTGAATACACTGTTGATGGAGTCAACAGGTGTCAATTCATCGGTATATGTTTTTACTCTAATACGCGAATTGTATCGCAACGATAACAGGTTGTAGACGAGCTATAAAAATAAATAGATGCAAATCTCTGTCTATATATAAAGTTGTATGATGTCAGTTTATATCACATTTGTATAAAAATTTTTATATTACATGTGTGTATGTGTATAAGTCGTAAAGTACAATATATAAAGCAAAAAACCCACCTCAAATCTATATTGCCTACTGGGTACATCTAGAGCAGTAATATCTGACAGATTAACAAACTGTGTATTATGATGATCTTTCAAAAATGTACATATAGGAATAATGCCTTCAGGAGCAATGAGTAACTCTAGTTCATCACCAGCAGTCAATTGTACTTGTTGTATATATTTTGGCAAGCAATCAGTGATATAGCGACCAAAGTTTATCAAACGATCGACATCAATGTGACTGGGTTTACGCACTGTGGCTATAAAAATATTTAAGATGGAACAATGCTATACATTGAACATCTTGCATGCATATATAGGATATTCTAGAATTATTTCTTTCACTTTTCCATTAATATCTGCTCCAATTTCTGACAGAAATTGGAGCAAATAACAATAATAATAACAATTAAAGATATCTTTAATAAATTATAATGTAACACTTTCCCAAAATTTACTTAAGGATATCAAATTACGTATTGAACATAATTGTAAAAACGTACGACGAGTCTCGGGTTTTTCAGTATTTTCACTGGCTGTCGTGGTGTTGCATCGTATTAATGACGGAAAAGCGACAGCATAACCTATCAGATGAACGCACACATTATTACATAATTCGATGGAAAATGCCATTTGTACAATATATTTCATTACATTTTGGTGTAGCAACCGGTAAACTATGCGACAGCCTCCAACAATTCCTCAATATTGATGTCATCTTCTCACAAAACGTTTCAAATACAATTCTAAAGCACAATTATCAGTGGAACATCATAGTTCCTAACATTTATGACACTTTTTACTTTAGGGTAATATCAGAAACTTTCAGAACCCTAGAAATTCTCTATTCGATGGCCAATCGTAATAACGTTTGGTCAACCAATCAGGGTAGCGAAAATGTAACCTTTTTCCTAAAGCAGAAATGTGAAATTTTTAGATATAAAAATTAACACTTTGAAGTATTTGTAAAGGCAAATGGATTATGATCTTCATTTAATAATATAATAAGCTCAATATTATTATCCAAATCTATAGAAGGGCATGTAATTTATATTTTCTTACATATACATAGAAAAATTTGTGAATCGCTGTTACAGATAGTGAGTTTTAACATTTTTGTATCTCAAAGTCTCTTAATAACGAGTTATCACAGTTATCGTCAGCTGGACTGGATAGATTTGAAAATACTGTGCCGCTCCAAAGTTTGTAATTCGACGAGAATGGTGGCTATAATATGCCTTAATTGGTGGAATTTTGCCAAAGACAATTCGAATATTACACATTCGCCTGTATTGAAAATCCACTCCATCACGATATTTGGTTCAAGCACTCTGTTTATTATACTGTAATTAGATAATAATATATGAAATTATGATCTTTTTATATATAATTATATTATTTGACATAACACAATATATATAAACATCTTTTTAAAATCCAGGCTTACTTAGAGGAGATTGTAATATCCACACGCCATTTGCAAGAGATCAATTGTGGATTAAACTTTGTTCTTTGAATTAAGCCTGATAATAGATCAGATCGCTTTGGACCATAAATCACAGATGATAAATCTTCTATACAATCTGGAGTCAATCTGTAATTGATACATAAAGGTCAGCTGAGAAGTAGTATACAATTGTTATACAGAGAAGAATTTTAAGAATAAGCTTTGTTGTTAGTAATGTATTCACTTTAATTCCTCCAAACATTGCTTGAATTCTACAGGCTTGATATCATGGCATTGTAAACGTAGATGCATTTTCAAAATTGTGAGGATAGCAGCATAGTATTCATCTACATGCTCCTCAGGTATGTTATATTTTTTACTTATCCGCTCTAGTACACCTTCTTCTATGTATTCCAATTCTATTGCTTTCACTGCAACTGCAATTTTTTATGCAATTAACATGCGTACGTACGCAATACTATTAAATATATGCTATGCTTATTGTAAATAATTTTGTAAATTTCGAGCAGTACGTAATTTATTGGTTGAAATTTGTTGTATTTAATTATATATTATGTATCTATTTTAACCTCACGTTGTATTAATGGACGTGCGAATGTCTTTTTTAATTCCGCCAGATATTTCGTCTTACTCCCTAAAACATTTAAGAGTTGCGTTTGAAAAGAACTTGTCATCTTTATCTTAATGACGTTTAAGTAATTTTGACAGATCTCTCTCGATTGTGATTTTAACTGAATCTAACCTAACTTCTCAAGTGCTCGCATTGCCTAGTAGTGTCATCTACCGAGAATCAAGAACAACTATTTGGAACACCCGCTGCTTTTTCAATTGTGCATCGAGAAGTTAATCGATATTCTCGATATCGTTGCAAATAGAATTTCTGTCGACGATTAGTGATTTTTAATTAATTCGACGACAATTGATATCGTATTTAAGTGAGGAATGGCATAAGTATCGTCACGGATGGAATACAATTGAAGATTGCTGACTTTTAGGCAAATTTTAACGAACAATCAGGTAGAATTGCAGATAATTAAAGAATGTTAATGAATATTGATACAGAGACACTCATATCTTTTACGATATTGTGTCATTTTACATTTATATATAAATTTTGACATTTTTTTAGGTCAATACAAGACAAGAAGATTCAATAAATTTTTTAATATACTCGGTTGAAATAATACCAAACAGTAGACCGTGTGGCCTAATGGATAAGGCGTCGGACTTCGGATCCGAAGATTGCAGGTTCGAGTCCTGTCACGGTCGTAGAACATTTATTTTTTTTTCCTTCGATGCGTGAAATGTGTCAGATATGTGTTGTAAGTCTTTTTATACCTACATATGCGCTATTAAAGTTCTTCCGGTTCGCTCTATTTAATTTTTTTTACCGTATATAATATAATGTCTTTATAGATCTAGTAGAGACGAAGAAGTTCACAGTACGCAAGGGTAATCTAATTGTCTTTTTAAAAATTTATTAACTGTTTTTAAAATTAAATTAATGTAAATTTAACCTTCTTTCACTGCAAAATTTATTCGAAATCTATTAAGTACTAGAGCAAGTAAGATAGATGCTGTATTTTATTGGAATTTTTCTATTATTAAATTGTTATATGTATATTATATATTATGTGTTTATTGTGCACATTTCATTGCACTAAAAATTTTATATAATTTTTTATACTTGATTTATACTTGACTTTTTATATTTGATTTATACTTGATTTATATTTTTTATACTTGATTGAAGATTTGCACGTATATTTGATTTTTCATGAAATGAGCCATATCTCGAAACATTTCTTTGTATAATGATAAACGATATAGCGAGCAATATGTATATGTGCGTGTGGGCGTTTTATGTAAAATGATAGAGATATAGGATATGGAGGGACAGGGAAGGCATTCACATTTGTATATTGGTGACATTATCAGGAAATATCGAGGATTCCCGAAACATTATTCATTACTCTTAAGCATTTCTAACATTTCCTATGGTATAATAGTGTCATTGTAATTCATTCATTATGACGTTGTCGATATTGCGTTTATAACTTATAAATTATGAAACGTGTAGGTGGCATTTGATCGATACAAATTTAATAGCTTTTAACCTTTTATTTCTATTATCAAGAAGGATAACAAAATTACTCCATAATTAATCAGATTTCGCAGTAGAAAAGTTAACAATCTTTAAACGATGATTTTGTTTTTGCAAAAGAATGCTGAGCATATAAATGAACTTTTATATTAATTTTTACAAAATAAATAAATAATATATATATAACATAAATTTATATATGCTAAAGATATATTAATTAAATATATCTTTAGAAATTAGATATGATATAGAATTTAGTAGCAAAATTATTAATAAATGTATAGTGACTCTTTTTATAATATTTTACTGTTTAAAAACTTTAAATTAATAACGTTGATTATGATCTACAGGTATGATCCGTTCGTTGCAAAGATCAAGCAAGAACCTTCGATAGCTCAGTTGGTAGAGCGGTGGACTGTAGTTGGCATAATTACATAGAGACATCCATAGGTCGCTGGTTCAAATCCGGCTCGAAGGAGTTTTTTTTTGGTATAATTTTTTAGTTCTTTATTGTGAACATATTTTTTAAAACATGATTAAAATATTATAATATTCATTTAAAAAATCTTGTGTATATGTGTAAAAATAAATATTTTTATTTATATATATAAAAGACATAAAAAAAATTATATTAAAAAGATATATAATGCATGCATAGTACATATACACAAAATGTATAAGTGATTCTCTCTCTCTCTCTCTCTCTCTCTGTCTCTTTCACTCTTTTATATTATATTAAACTTTCTTTTTATTTTTTATTAAATAAACCTCTTGTTTATTATGTAATATTATGATAAAACATATTGTCATATTATGCTCATAGTTAATTACATTGCTTACGAAATATTTTTTTTACAGATAACTATATGAACAGACGGAAATACTACAAATAGTTTCCCATTCATCATTTATAGTACAATTGTATGAAGGGTGGTTTCACGGTATGCCATATGTATTATTTACTCTATGCTTCCTCTTAAAAAAAAAGAACAGTTGGAATCAAATAAAAGTTGGAAAACTCTCAGTCACGTTAATAGATGAGGCTAAAAGCAATAAACTGTATACATTACATGTATGTATAAAACTAAAGAAGATAGCTTATCACTTGTCATTAAAAGAACTTGTCTACAAAGAGTATATCAAAAAAGTTTGATCTTTTTTTATTGCAGTAAAAATAGAAAGAACATGAGAAGGAAAAAAAATTGTCTTCGTGTTTCGATACGAGAGCATTGACAGCTTGTTTTTGAAGTTGTAAGCAGGATGAGGGTTTCTCTAAATCTCTCGTTACATTTTTGGCGTGTCACCCATTGATCCTGCACCATTCGATGTTTATCCATTTATCTATTTCGGGGATCGGAACCCTGCGAGGGCGCGCCGACCCTTTTGTCTAATCAGAGTAAAGTGAATTAGCCCTAACACGAGACCGCACCTAAATGTTTTTGTTCGCGTAAGCTTTTAATTCCTTCTTTTCAGCTAAGTTTGACCTAGTACCAAGTACTGCGAAGATTAGAGGGTCGATATAAGGCGTTCGATGTATCGCATCCCCTCTTGTCGTTCGTACAATAGAATTCATCAGTGAACGCGCAACGATTTGTTTCTCGCTTCAACAACTCTCTCTCTCTCTCTCTTCTCTTCAATATCCTGTCAAGATTAACTTTCAATTGCAAAAGAGAATTTTCCAACTAATTTGATATGATAATAATTATATATATAATTA